CCGCCACCGAGTCGAGAGACGGCCGATCGCCCTTACACAATGTCTCAGCAACTTTTCGGCAATATTCGACGTAGAGGTATTAATGAAATTTATACCTAGTATTTTCAAGACGGAACAAGACAACGGGGCGTTCGAAGGAAAGTTGTTGGGCCGCAAAACGATGAACACGTTTTCCAAGGAATTCTTCAATGCGCTTACTAAACGTTATAGCGAAAACTTGTGAGAGAATTTTACGTATTAATGTCATAATTCACAACATATATTTTTATATCGACGTAATTGAAAATTTCCTTATATACGAGTAATGTGGAATCTATTCAATGATACTAAATAATTTTCAAATAGTTATTTCCTATTGCGTTAGCTATAAAATGCTTGAAAAAAAAAATTAAAAAACATCGTTTCTTCTGTTTGCAATCAATGGATGTTTGCTTATTACTAGACACTTTTGTTGCATTGAAACCACAAGTTAGAAATTTAAAAAAGAAGAGATCCAAGATACAGTAACTCACTTAATGCACGATACAAATACACTTTCTCTCAACTAGCAAATCAACTTTAAAATTTTGAAATCTTGCTGTTACAAACAATAACAAAAGTGGATATTTCAACTCACAAAGCTGCGTACTCACTAGAGAATCTGTTACACTATTCGCCACAATTGATGCAGTTTCATTATTCATCAATTTCCTTTCTCATAACATTTCTTTCATTTGTTACTTATCTCATCCTAATAAGTCTTAACCACAAGATTGACCACTTAACTATATCGTAAGCACAAGAAAAATTGAGTTCATTTTCATGAGAAGGGACAAGTTTATAATGGATGTAATAGAAAAAAGCAAGTCTCTCTCTTTACACTGTTAAACCCGATGTGATATCTGCTGGGGAAGTCGTTAATGACTTCTAGTACGAACTGGGCTGGAATGTGTGTATCTAGAAATCTGGCGAAGGCCGCTGAGGTCAATTGTCCTTCCATCGATTCCCCCAAAGATCGACCTAGAACGAGAGGATTCAGGGTTGATGTCAACATCTCGCTTCTGCTGCGACCATGAGAAAGTTAGAAGCCTTAAAATACGATGACACGTCAGTTTTCCGGCAACAGAAGCTGAATCAACTGCAAACTTTAGACTTAATGGCACATCCACTGGTCCAACGTGTCTTTCGAAGTAGATTGCGACGAAGAAACTAGCTTTTGGGTAAAAGGAAATGGGTTAACATCTTTGAATAAGTGAAAGCAAAACTTTATTTCGTCTTGCGTTGTGGAAGATCACTAAAACGCTGGACTCGTCTAACACGGTTTTATCGTTTGCCCATTTGGCTAAACATCAAGGTTTATGAGAGCTCACGAAAAGTTCAGTCACATTAATATCCTTCTCATCTCCTTAAACTTCTGGGTCGCCTTGAACAGTTAGAAAATTTAATTTATCCAACTAATACCTTCAGGCGGAGCAAAAGGAGGGAAAGGATGGAACTTCAGGAGTCAAAAGATACAGAAATATAATTTTGTACTCATAATTTATTTAGAAGTGCGTGATAAATACATAATTATGTAATGGAATCTGTGAAATTAACAATATCAAAAATTTGTATCACAGCTAACAACAAAGTCTTGTGAATACGATTCAGCCGTCAGGCAGGTCGTTTCGTGCGAAGTGATGGCGACGTGGTGAGAGGCGATGACTTAGTAGGCGTAGTGAGCGCCGAGACCAGCGAAGGTCACGTGCGCGCCGTAGCCGATGGCGGCGGGGGCGGCAGCGATGGCGGGGGCGGCGATGGCGGTGCGCGCGTAGCCGATGGCGGGGGCGGCGGCGATGGCGGGGGCGCGTAGCCGGGCGCCGTACGCTAGGCTGGCGTCGGTAGGCGAGAGGCGCGGCCGGCGACGCAGAGCGGACGGCGGCGATCGGCGCGGCCAGAGTGGCCCGTAGCTGTAGCGAGAGCGTAAGCCCAGACCGGCGCCATAGCCGTAACCGCCACAGTAGCCGTAGCGGCACCGTATCCAGACCGCACCGTAGGCCAGAGCGGCGCGGCAGCCACGCAGGGCGCGATGGCGCCGGGCGATGGGCGGCGATGGCGCGGCGCCGAGGCCAGGCCACCGTAGCGGCCCGCGTAAGCCGATTGGCGGGGGCGGCGCGATGGCGGGCGGCGTAGGCGCGCGGCGTAGCGATGGCGGGGGGCGGCGGATGGGGCGGGCCGATGCCCGGTGCGGCGTAGCGATGGCGGGCGCGGCGATGCCGGGGCAAGCAATGCACGGCCGTACGCCAGACCACCGTAAAGCGTGCGCGGGCGCGAGCCTAGACCGCCGTAGGCGCGCGGCGTAGCGATGCAGGGCGGCGGGATGCGCGAGGGCGCAGCGCGGCGATGGCGGCGGCCGTGCGATGGCGGGGCGGCGATGGCGGCGCCGTAGCCGATGGCGGGGGCGGCGGCGTAGGCTCCGCGGCTGACGCCGTAGGCGGCGTGTCCGTGCTGGGAGATGCCGAAGGAGGAGCCCGAAGCGCCGTAGGACAGGCCGCCGGCCGCGGGCAGGCCGCCGTACGCGCCGTAGCCGAAGTCGTTGGTGGCGCGCGAGCTGGAGATGCGCACGCTGGAGTGCGCGCTGTCCACGGCCTTGGAGTACTGCGACAGCCCGCTCTGGCCGCCCAGGCCCTTCAGCGTCGTCTCCTGCGACGAGCCCACCGACGCGAAGTCGCCGGAGGCGGAGTAGGTGCTGTAGGCCGCGGGGCCGCCGGCGCGCGCGGCGCCCAGCAGAGCGAGGAGGACGAAGACCTGTGGAACGGTGCACGTGAGAGATAGGACGGCCGAGGCGGCCGCTTCACGCTTTGCGGTGCGGTAACTCGTGCGTTAAAGCGACCACTTATTTCCTAAGTAGCACCGTCGTTGGGGTCTAATCGTTGGTAAGCACGTGGTTTGAAACAAGCCCCCCGAAAGACATTATTACCATAACTGGAAATATATGAAGAATAATGAACCTATAGAATGTTGTAACAGCGTGAAAAGAGGCGGCGGAACAATCTACGATGGAATTAAGAGTGCTGTTATTAGGGATGGTTTTCTTTTCAGAAAAGGAGCGAGAAACGAAATTACGGAACAAAGCTTAGTTTAGTAGCTGCAGAACGGCTTTAAATAGGGCAAAGAACTAAAGGAGAGAATTGATTCGAAGAAAAACTTTTCGAAAGTTGTATTCAGATTTATTCAACTTTACCAAGAAACGCACAAAACAAGAAAAGTAAACCACTTTAAATATCTGTTTTGGAGCTCTTTCAAAAGCTGAATGCCAAACATCTAGGTTAAAACTGAAAAAATGCATGAATTTCAACCGGCTCTTCGGTAACAGCAGAGCTGCGTTTTCTGGAACCCAACGACTTAAATGCAGCAGCGAGCAATTCACGCCACAACAAATAACACGCGCTTGTTTTGTTCCAGGTCCGCACGAGGGTCTGCGGCTCAGTCGAGTTGCAGCGCTGGAGAACCTCCAATAAAGGAATGAAGCCAATTTGCCAGCGGAATAAAACGGCACAAATCGCACCCCGCTCCTTCTCCTCAAAGAATTTCGCAAGGATGCGAAGAAGGACCCGGCTTCGGGAAAACATCATTACCGAAGTCCTCCCTTCGTCCGGTGCATCTCGCCGCCTTGCAGAGTAGGATGGCGAGGAGCGGCGCCCCGCCCCCTTCCGCCCCTCCCCGTCTCGCCTCCTTCTCTTCCTCCTCCTCCCCTTCCCCCTCCCCCGGCCTCGCCACGCACCTCCCCGAACCTTCTCACTCTACGGCTGTGCGCCAGCAAACTTAAATGGATTTCTCGCGGGGGGTTGTGGAGCTTCCGGTGCCGCGCGGGACAAAGGTTGCCCCCCTCCCCCCCCCACCTCGTACTATCTTTCCAAAAGAACGGAATCAAAAACACGGACTGCTGAAGTGGGAGCATTGGAGGAAGCTAGTAGTAATCGATTTAGGAGGATGGAAATTGTCGTGAAGGATGGAATGTGAGAGAGGAATGTAATCAGTAGAACATGAGGGAAATGCCGATAGAAAGATAGTAGGTTGTTTTTCTACTATATAGTATTAAAACTCAAAAACGCAAGTCACTCGAAAAATTAAAAGAGTAAATTTTATATGAGGTTGTTTATCCCTTTCTATCTTTATAATACCAAAAATTGGATACTAACCGCTGGTGTGGACGAGCAGTAGAATAATCGTAATGTGAACTAGAATGTGACAAACGACGTGCTTTTGTGGGGCAAAACTGCAGCAGGGATGGTGACTAACAGAGGAGATAAGGTTCTCCGAGGTATGTGTAGAAAACAGCGGAAAGGCAGGGAATAGGGACTGAGAAAGGGCGAGGGCTCAGTGGGAGAGTCTTAAGAGACCTCCAAGCGCGTGCCCTATCTCCAGAAAGTCACCTGCTTCCCCTCATCCCAGCCCCCGAGTCTTTTCCCGCCGCCCCCGACGGATATAGCGTGGACAAAGCCCCGCGAACCCTTTTTCAAGAGACGTTTATTTGTTTGCGAAGCGCTCTTCCTATCTAGATTCAGGACGACAACGAACTTTGGAAAAGAGCACGCAAAAATTTGCGAGTCGAATTTTCGCGCACTCCATACAGCTGATTCAACGGTTTCACGGAGCAAATTGCCTGGAACTAGAGCGCAATTCTGGATGTGTTCATTTCCGGTTTGAAATTATCGTCCGGATAAAATAAAGTCAGTCGCAACTTCTGAGAAAATTAGGTTACCGAGTGTAGCGAGCTCAAAACCTATCGGAAAATAAGAAGGAGCTGAACTGCGGTAAATATGCATGGAACGAGATACAAAAAAATAGGCACGCAGAACTACATCAAACGTTTGTTTATGAGAAAAGCGATTCAATGGTTTTCGCCTAATTAACGATTTTCTGATATTCTATAATTATTAACGAATATTTTCATCTATAATATGTATTTACAAGGAAACGATCCATTAATTCACGCACCATTTCAAATTCCATTCCGCAAATTGCTAATTCACGTTCTACAAATCGCTTCGCAACAATTTCCGGTGAAATGAATATTCCCGATGGTGAACACCTCGACGGTAGCGGCTCCTCGCATAATAGCGAGATTGCGGGTCCCGGGTGCTCCAGATGAGCCACTCCCGCCGGGGTCTTCCTACTCCTTCCCCTTCCCCCTTCCCGCTTCCCGGATCGCCTGCTGCGGTCGTCGAACTTTCGTAACTCCGTTACGTCGCCCACAACATCTTCCCCCACCTCCACCTCCACCGCCGTCGTCTTCGCGCCGCATCCTCGCTCCGGCCACTGAGACGGCGCGTCGGGGCGGCGTTCAGACCGCGCACCGCACTCGGTACCCACCTTAAACGCCATGGCTGCCGAACGGGAGTAGTGATGTAGTACTCAAGAAGCGGACAAAATCGAAGTGTGTCCAGCGACGGGCGGCCCGTCGGTTTTATACCCGAAGCTGCCGCCGGGAGAACTACATTCACCGCGGCCGGCCGACGGCCCGCTGGG